ACGTGTGAGTCCAATTGGTCCCCAGTTGGGTCCCCAGTAAGTCCCCAGTGTGCTTTGGATTCCTGGGCGAGCCTTCCTGGCAGGTGGGAGGAGGTGGGGGTGGGGGGGGGGGGGAGTTGGGTACCGCTATGTGGTAGTTTCAGAAATGTAGGGGTACCTCATTTTGGGGTCGTTATAATAAGGATCCTACTCCTACTATTCAGGCTACTATAATGGTGTCCCCTAGCGTTGGCATTACAAACGTACAGTGTCCTTGAGTCCTTAAAACTTGCAAAGTCTACTGTACAAAAATGCAAAAATTCCCTGGTAGACGTTGGCGTTACAAACTGAATTAAAGTGTCCTTGAAGTCTACCATACAAAGACACACAAATTCAAGGTGGGACATTGGCGTTACACACTTACAGTGTCCTTGAAATTTGCAAAGTCTAGCATACAAAGATACAAACATTCGAAGGTGGATATTGGCATTACACACCTACAGTGCCCGTGAAATTTGCAAAGTCTAGCATACGAAGATACAAGCATTCAAGGGTGGACGTTGACATTGCAAACTCGGCGTGTTCTTGAGTCATTGGGCCTACAAAGTCTACCATACAAAGATACAATAATGCAGCGGTCACAGTCTAACAAAAAAGATACAACAAGTCTGGGGTCTAGGGTGCAAAGTCTACCATACAAAGAGACAAGCATTCAATTTTCCATGTTGGCAACACGACCTTACGGTGTCCTTGGAACTTGCACAGTTTACCACACAATGATATTTGTCAAGGGTGGACTTTGGCATTACAAAGTTACCGTGTCCTTGACGTCTACCATACATGGATACAAAATTGAAGGGTGGAGGTCGGCTTTACAAGTTTATACTATGTTTGAAATTTACACAGTCTACCGTACAAAGATACAAATATTCAAGGGCGGACGTTGACGTTACAAACTTGCAGTGTGCTGTAAGTTGAAATGGGCAAAGTCTTCCATACAAAGACGCACAAATTCAAGGGTGGACGCTGGCGTTACAGACCTACGGTATCCGTGAAATTTGCAAAGTCTACCTTACAAAGATATACACAGGTACACAAATTCAAAGGTGGACGTTGGCGTTGCGAACTTACACTCTGCTTGTAGTTTAAAAGTCTACGGTACAAAGACATACACCGATACACAAATTCCGTGGTGGACGTTGGCTTTTCAAACTTACAGTGTCCTTAAAGTCACCATACAAAGATACACAAATTCACGGGTGGACGTTGGCGTTACAAACTTACAGTGTCCTTAAAGTCTACAATACAAAGATACACAAATTCAAAGGTGGATGTTGGCGTTACGAACTTGCAGTGTCTTTGATATTTGCCAAGTCAACCATACAAACATAAGATACACACATTCAGCGGTCAATGTCTACAAGGCAAGATACAAAAAGTCAAGGGTGGACATTGGCGTTACAAACTTCCGGTGTGGTTAAAGTCTACCATACAAAGATACACAAAATCAAGGGTGGACGCTGGCGTTACAAACTTGCTATGTCCTTGAAATTCGCAAAGTCCACCATACAAACATACAAAAATTCAAGGGTGGACGTTAGCGTTACAAACTTACAATGTCCATTAACTTTGCAAATTGTACCATGCAAACATCAGATACACACATTCAAGGTCAATGTCTACAAGGCAGGATACAAAAAATCAAGGATGGACGTTGGCGTTACAAGCTTCCAGTGTCTTTAAAGTTTGTCATACCCAAACTCAAGGTTGGACCTTAGCGTTACAAACTTACAGTGTCCTTGAAATTTGCAAAGCCTACCATACAAAGATACAAAACTCAACGGTGGACGTTGGCGTTACAAACTTACAATGTCCTTGATATTTGCAGAGCGTACCACAAAAATCATAAGATACATATATTCAAGGGACAATGTCTACAACGCAAGATACGGAAAAGTCAAGGGCGGACGTTGGCGCTACAAACTTACAGTGTTCTTGAAAATGTGCAACGTGTACCATGCAAAGATGCAAAAACTCAAGAGAGGACGTCGGCGTTACAAACTTACAATGTCCAATAACTTTGCAAATTGTACCGTGCGAACATAAGATACACACATTTAAGGGTCAGTGCCTACACGTCAAGGCACAAAAAGTCAAGGGTGGACGTTGGCGTTACAAACTTACAGTGTGATTGAAATTTGCTAGGTGTGCCGTACAAACATAAGATACACACAGTCAAGGGTCAATGTCTCCACGCAAGATACAAAAAGTCAAAGGTGGACGTTGGCGTTACAAACTTACAGTGTCCATAAAGTCTGCCATACAAAGATACCGAAATTCAAGGGTGGACGTCGGCGTTACAAGCTTACAATGTCATTGAAATTTGCAAAGTGCACCATACAAACATAAGGTACACACAGTCACCAAGGGTGGATGTTGGCTTTTAAACTTCCAGTGTCGTTAAAGTCTACCATACAAAGATACGAAAACTCAAGCGTGGACGTTGGCGTTACAAACTTACAATGTCCATGAAATTTGCATCATGTACCATACACACGTAGGATACACATTCAAGGCTCAATGTCTACAACACAAGATACAAAGAATCAAGGGTGGACGTTGGCGTTACAAACTTACAGCGTCCTTGAAATTTTCACAGCCTAACATACAAAGATACAAAAGTTCAAATGTGCACGTTGGCGCTACAAGCTCATAATGTTCTTGAAGTTTGCAAAGTGTACCATACAAACATAAGATACACACATTCAAGGGTCAATGTCTACAACGCAAGATACAGAAAGTCAAGGGTGGACGTTGGCGTAACCAACTTACAGTGGCCGTAAAGTCTACCATACAGTGATACTCAAATTCAAGGGTGGACGCTGGCGTGACAAACTTACAGTGTTTTTCAAATTTTCATAGCCTGCCATATACAAAGATACAAAAACTCAAGGGTGGACGTTGGCGTTGCAAGCTTATAACGTCCTTGAAGTTTGCAAAGTGTACCACACAAGCATAAGAGACGCACGTTCAAGGGTCAATGTCTACAACGCAAGATACAAAAAGTCAAGCCTGGAATTGTTGTATGTTTGTATGACAGACTTTGCAAATTACACGGAAAGTGTAGGTTTGTAATGCCCCAACGTCCACCCCTAGATTTTTTGCATCCATGATTGGTAGACTGCAAATTTCAAGGACACTGTAAGTTTGTAACGCCATCGTCCACCCTTGAATGTTTGTATCTTGCAAGGTAGACTTTGCGAACTTCAAGTCAAAATGCAAGTTTGTAACGCCAGCGTCCGCCGTTGATTGTTTAAATTGTTGCATGTCTTTGTATGTTGGACTTTGCAAACTTCAAGGACACGATAAGATTGTAACGCCAACGTCCACCCTTGAATCATTGTATCTTAGTGCGTCTTTGTATGGTAGTTTTTACAAGCTTCGGTTTACACTGTAAGTTCGTAATCCCAACGTCCACAGGAAGGAAAAATGAAGGAAGTACAACGAAAGATGGATCAGGAAGGAAGGAAGGAACAATGTCGGCATGTATCATCATATTCCATCCTTGTGCCCAGAGCCTCGCCTAGAAGCCGAAATCCTGGAGGCTTCGGACCCCCTTCAAAAACCCTTGCTGTAAACAAAAAATATCATGTCACCAGTAAGAGAGATTTATGCAGATGTTTCTGTTTGGAAATAGGGGCGGGCGGTGGTGCGCCCCCCCCCCCCCAACAAGGCCAACGTCCCCGTTCTTCTCTACAACCGGATGGGGCGGGGGAGGGGTGCGCTGAGACGGAGAAAACAACTGATGTCGAAGTCACTCCTCAGCGAAGGAAGAAGGACAGAGAGGGCGACAGAGAGGGATGGCGGGAGTCAGAAGGATGATCTTGGAGGAAAAGCGGCCATGAGGGTGATCGACATGTGCACGGCGAGTGAGTGCTTGAAAGGCGGTGTTCCTGATCAAAGGGGAAACTCGCTCGAATTCAGCTCTCAGCGCTCCAGGCGGAGCCCCTGTGGCTACGACGAGGCCATCAGTCTGCAGCTAAGAGAGTCTCAAAGAGAGGGGGGCACTTCTGCGCCCCTAAAGCCTCATCGGACCTAAAGCCTTAAGTTGTGTCTCGGGCGTGATTGCGTGCTTCTATCTGTCGGTCGCTTGCTTGCCCTGAGGCCCCATGGAGTGAGCATCCTTGTGATTCTGTCCCCCAAGCCTGGCACCTGGTACCGACGGGACAGGGTTGCTGTGACTGTATGACCTTGTCTCATGATGAGAGACGGAACAGTTCTGTCTGCGTTTTTTTTGCGCCGGCTTCCTTTTCAAATCACCACTGTGCCGGAGCAGTGTCGGAGGGATCAGAACCCGCCCGGGCCCCTGGCGCTTCTGATTCGAGCCTTGGGAGTCTGACAGAGAGAGCGCCCTCGCCTTATCGGCCTTGAGTTGTGGCGCGTATGGCTCGTTCGGAGATGCGTTCTTGCGTGCCCGGAGGCCCCGTGGAACGAGCATCCTTGTGCCTGGCACCTGGTACCGAAGCCGTCAGCGTGAGAGTATCACCACGCAGCTGCGAACGCCGCCAGAGCCGCTGAGGCCAGTGATGTACATCACGCAGCTCGCGGCTGTTGAGAAGCTTCGGGACCGGCAACGTGTACGAAACCCAGCTCGCCAGCTCTGAGCCGCTCTGAGCCGCGCTGCTGTGGTGCGGAGGACAAGAGGCCCGCGGCCTTGGAGCGCTGCAAGGCCGTCGCGGGGGCTCGCGCTGGGAGGCTTGGCGCCTGGCGCGCGAACGCGAAGGTCTCTCAGAGCCCCGAGGCCGCGCTGGCCTCTGCTCTGGTCTGGGCTTTCGAGACCGGTTTGCGAGCTGTGTAGAGGTGCGCTCCCCTTTCACAGCGTGGCTTTCGAGACCGGTTTGCGAGCTGTGTACATGGAGGTGCCCGCCCTTCCCCTAAACCCTCCCCCAAGCCCGCCGCGCCCTTCCCCTTTCACAGCGAGCGCCGAGCGTTGCCGTTGCTCGGAGCTCTGAGGCGGGGCGATGCTGGAGAGTCTGTTCTCAGCTCTAGCGGTGGCCGGCCCGGCCCGAGGACTCCGCCGGGCCAGATTTCGTTTCACGGGAGCGGCAAAGTCGGAGACCGTGGAAGGCCTCTGCATTGAAGCATCTCGGCGAGACATGGCAAGACTTGGGATGCTGTGCCAGGATGCTGACTGCTTGTTTGACGTTGCAATGCCCAATTTACTCAGGACTGGCGAGGTCTGCGAAATTTCGCAGCGACTCTTCGCCGACGGCGGGGCGATTTTGTGGGAAGTTGTTGCATGTCGGGGGCTTGCCCCGGGGCCGATGAATGTCTTTGCGTTTGCTGCGCAGGTTTTCGTTGCGCTGGCACTGACGCAGCTACTGAGCGTCTGCTCCAGCGTGCGCGGAGCACCAGGGGCTGCAAGCAGGCGTGGCAGCGTGGCATTGGGTCTACGGTATCAGAGATCGCCAAACTGCAGCGAAGGTCCAGCGAGTGAAGTTGGTCGGAGCCCAGCAGCTGGTTTCTGCACGATGCCATGACTTGCAGTAAGCTTGCAAGGCCGGGGCTTGCCACACGCCGATGGCGGAGGCCAGGATGCAGATGCCGGGTGCTCGGAGCGAGGAGACTGAGGTGGAGGCCTGCTCTGAGACCTCTTTTTGTTTCTTCTCCTTCCGGTCCGAAAGAAACTCCGAGGTTCGACTGCAAAGCTGCGCAGGGAGTCTGCAACCCTCAAGGCCCTCTCTTGTCAGCGGAAAGGACCCCTTGCTTCCTTATGACCCTCATGCCGGCGCAGGATCGACGTGTACCTGAGTCGCGGCACGAAGGCGTCTTCTGGAGCGTCCGCTTCTGCACTCGCTGAACGTTTCGAGAGAAGTCTGCGAGGTTGCAGCCGGCAGCTCTCCCAATTGGGCGGCTCTCCTGGCGGACCAGTTGCTTGAGCAGCAACTATGAAGGACTCTTAGTCCTCCTTTGCTGATGCCCTGATCCTCTTTTGTGTTGTGCTCCGTCCACCAGGCTGACGCAGCAAACTGGATGGACTCGGTGCTTGGCATGCTCAAGGCTGCTCCACCTGATGAAGCAGATGATGCGAAGCTACGCGAGACACCAGAGTTGGCATCAGCACACAGGACGGCCTCGGCGAGTTCTGCGAGTATGGTCCGCGCTTCCCCCAGCTTCGTGTTGCATTGCTGTAACGGTATGAACTTGTCCCATGCTGAGCGACAAAAGAGCCGGGCCAAGCGTTTGTCCGTGTCTGTGTCCGTTTTTGACTCCGGCTTCCTTCGAGATCAGTGTGCAGGAGCAGTGTTTTTTCTGCTATTAGTAGTACCATTAAAATAGTAAGAATGTCCATTCACATTGGTATTACTATTGTTAGAATCATATCTATTATTAGCTTGCGTTATACTCATCACTATTTAAAGGGCCCGAATTGCTCCCAGAAGATCGTAGAGCCCCGGAACCCTGTAGGCGCCCTTCGGGGCGGGGTTCGCCATGCAGAGTTTGGACGGCATCCACCAGCAGCCTGTTTCACTTTGGCTTTGGTTTCAACCTCTGCTGGGAGGGCATCCGACTTTGACTTTTGGCTATGCGGTCAACCAGAGCCTGGAGTGCATCCGACTCCCCATCAGCATCCAACTTCCCAGCAGCCTGCAGAGTTTGGCGTTCGGCGGCGCTGACTCAAGCAGCAGCTCCACTGGGTTGACATCCGACCCACGGAAAAAGGGCGAAGGCAGAGGCTGGACCTTTGGTATTGGTTCTACTGGCACATTGCTTTTTAGTCCACGGGCATCGATATGGCTTCTGCGAAACAGCTCACCGAACTCGCACGTCGGATAAGTCCATTTCACCATCCGGGTTGCCAGATGCCGGAACCCAGGGATTGAACTTCGGAAAGTTCCCCCGCTTGCCGATCGTCGACTGGAGCACCATGAGCCTTTACGACATGGAAGGGGTTAACACCTGGCCCGTTGTTATAGTGAGCTACCTCTCTGTCCTGAGGGATCAGATTGTGATGAATCAGATGATCGTTGTTGTGATGCACAGGCGCTTGTGCAGCGAAAGTTTTGGCCAAAAACAGACACGACACATATCTATAGGAATGACGAAGCGGGTTCGGCGACTCTCCATCAAGTTCTCGGGACAACTGGGAGGGGACGCTCAGTGTCGCAAGAATGCTGGCAAGGCCATGTCCGACTGCGGTGGCCAGGAGATGCAAAGGAGCTCGAATTTCACAGCCCTCGGGACAACTGGGAGAGGGAAGCCCAGCGTCGCCGGAATGGGGAGGCGACGCAAGGGAGCTCCGAAGCCTTCGAGAAGAACTTCGCGGCGGAGAGCGCGGTGCACAAGACCTGTCTGCAGACTGAGAAGCCGAACCTCGATGTCCAGAACACCCGCCAGACAGGGTTGAAAACTGTGACAAGTACCGCCACGACGACGGGCGAGGTGCAAGAGAACGCCATGCACAGCGCCAAGGATTCTTGTGAAGTGAAATCTGGTGCGGCTGGGAAAGAGGCGGTGTTGATCTAAGGCCGAGTCTGCATAGGTGTAGTTGACTTGTTATAGAGCGTAGCCTGAAACTTGCGCGGAGCCGAGAATTTCAAGCTTGTGAATTCAAAGAGGGGCATGCCTCAAACTCTCACCCCAAGATCCCTGAACGCCTGAATCCCCCGGAGCTCAAACCTGAACCCACAGCCAAGCCCTGAACCGTAAACCGACGAACTGAGGCCGCGGAGGCCTTGCAATGGGCGGTTAACCAGAAGCGATCGCCTTGGGACAAAGCAGGTTTTTCCGGTGGGATGCTGGATTTAGAGAAATGTAGGGTGCATGGCAGTCCTTCAAGTTGCGAGGTGTGCGAGGCGAGGGTCTCTAGGGGGAATGGAGTGTCTCATCTCAGCATCCTCATCACTATATGATGTCTTGCTTAAAGTTGCTTCTGTGAGATATGATATCATACATCGTCGTCACCATCGGCACCATCATCATCATGATGATATTGGAGCGGCCGCACCACACTGCGTAGCGTTTTCGTCCAACCTGAAGAGCTTCACAGTGTGGGGCTGCATCTATGCCGGCAGCGTGCACTCCATCCTGCGCCACTCGCACGCTTAAGCCTTTGTCGCATCATATCATTTCGAGTCTAGGAGCCTACCACAGTCGAAGGACTCGAATGCAGTTTAGGGTCATCCTAGGTGTCGAGCCGTTGAACTTGAGTGCGGTTTAGTGTCATCCTGGCCCACCGTGGTCCTCGTGGCTCGAATGCCCCTTTGCTGGGCCTCGCCAAACGACAGCCTGATGGCCGATGCCCCAGCTGCAGTTTGGGATGTGGGGCAGTTTGGGGTTCGGGTTTCGACTTTTCGCGCTGCTTTTGGCCGAGGTTGTCTCTCTGGGACCCTGTGGCGTCTGGCGACGGCTCTAGTCCGCTCGTTGCACCCGGCCATGCCGGTGTCGCACGCGGTGCAGCCCGAGCCTCCCCAAGCCAAAACACAAACCCTAAGCCCCTGGAGGCTTCCCGTGGCCGAGAAGCTTGTAGCCCCAAGGCCTCATGACACCTCACTCAAACTCCACACTTCCGGATCTAAACTGCTGAAGCGAACCCCAAACATGCATCCCTTCAAGTGCGCATGACGGCCTCTCCAGCGGTAAGGTCAATCATTGACGTGTTCAGCTTGTTTGCTGCTGCCGTCCTCGCTCGTCCTTGCAGGCCACTATCGCTTGAAGCTTCTGAAGCACACAGACATGGCGTGTTTGTACAGGATTGCCAGTGCCTTCTATGGGAAGCAAGCGAGCGTCTGCACTTGCTTCCGTGTTTCGGGTGTGAAGCTCGGGGACTCTTTGTGACGGCTTCTCATCGGAGATGAAGGGGTTTAAATCGAGGGTCAACGGTCAACAAATAGCTCTGTTTCGTCAAATCGAACATGCTGACGATCTGAGCGTGCATGTGTGCAGCTGTACGGTTAATCGTGATTCTTGGTGCAGCGGAGAGACCGCATGGATTTGTTAGCCTCGCCCGCCTCGCAATGGGAGGGCGTGTGTAAGCTTTGGGACCGAATAGCTCAGACGTTGACCTGCAGTTCCAAGGCCCGGCGGCGCTGCCGGGCATGCTGCGCAGGGCTCTGCCCAGCGCGGAGCCTGGAGTTCACAGCTTTGAACGTAACGCCGCGGAGTTGTCACTGAAAGTTGTCAGTCTTTTTCCTTCCCGGTTCCCGGTCACCATCTTGTTGCATACACTGAGGGACCCAAGACGGGTGAAAAGGCGGGGGCTCGCGTGGAATCTTAGACAGGTACTTGACTGTAGGACCGCTCGGATATAAAGCTCCAAGCAAAGTCTGCAGCCATGCATCGCGGGACGCTTGGTAAGCCAGGTGGTGACATCATTGCCTGAAGCTCAGAGATTTTCAGAGCATGTCAGAGTGTGTCAGAGTCAGAGCAGCAACTCCAGAAGGGTTTGTGCCGTGGTCAGAGCTGAAAAGATGCGCCAAGCAAGTCGGGCTTCAAGCCCTGTAGTGAGCCTCCCCTGAAGGTCCGATGACCAAGCTCCCACCATTGAGGCCGGCTTGCCGACTGCTGTGCGCTGCCCCCACTGTGTAGCTATGCAAGAACTGCAAGAGAGAGAGAGAGAGACACGGACGTTCTTTATTTGTCACGAAGATATGACACATGCCAAGAAGCGGAGTCAACAGTGTCGAAATGTAAAGTGCCTTACAATGTGTCCTCTGGCCAGACGATTTGGCTGGGCCCGCCACAGGCTGGGGTGTTGAACCACCTGCAGTTTGAGCAATCAACCCTGCCATCCGAGCATGTGACAGTTTACTGGCATGGAGCTTCGCTGAGCAATCAGTAGACTGAGCAGCTCATCCAACCCCCGGAGCTACAGATTCTGGCGTCGTCCGATGGCCCTCTGATTGTCTGGGCCTTACAGCACAACTATGAGCCGGCTCGGCTCGTAGGAAGCTTCAGGCTACGTATGATGGACTTTCCTTCCCGTGTTGCTCGATATTGTGCACACTGGCATTTCGATCATCCTTCAACACCTGCAGTTGATGCAGTTTGCTTGTAGGCGCATGCATTCCTGCATCAGTTCATGATTCATGGGCAGCCTGGAGCCTGACATCCCAAGCCACACAAAGCCTTTAGCGAGAGTCGTTCGGCGACCTCGTTCACAAATGATGCTAATGTTATGTTAGGCACTGGTAAAGAAAAGCTGCGCGACAATTCAAAAACCAGAGCTCGTCCTCAGGCAGAAGTGGAGCGGCCAAGGATTGTGGTGCCCCAAGACTCTGGGGACGATAGTCCTTGCCTGGTACTGCTTGCATGGCATCGACCATCAAGAATCCTGCAGGTTCTTATGGGTAGTCTTTGCAATTTTCGGGCTTTTTGGGCGAGTTTGAATACGCAGAGCTCTGATTATGATATCGTTTTGAGCCTTTCTGTCGCAAACTCGCACAGCCGTACATCCCATAATCTGGTCTGCTTTCATCATCTCGAATGCGGTAGCTTAGCAGGGCCCTTATCAAGGCATGGTGTCGGTTTGGCTTTTGAGGAGTGCAATCTGCACACAGTTCGTGCTCACGTAGGGTTGAGCAACACCGCGAGCAATTCTGAACCGTGGCTGGTTTCGGCTGGTTGTTGGATGGCCTCCAGGCCGCTTCCTTGCCAGGCACCCATGGAACGCATTCCCACGGCACTCATTCTGAGGCAGGACTTGGCGCACTTGCTCTGCATTCGCCGCTGCTGGTCTCCGCCTCATCAGCGCGCCTTCATGCTAGTCGGATTCGTAGGAGTTGCGATGCAGGACGATTCCCGTTTTGCTAGGAGAACTTCGCTTCAAAAACCCATGCAACATGAACGTGTGCACATGCGGTGCATCTTAGAATTGCAAGCTGTCGCCTCTAGAACTGCAGGCCTGCCGCACGCGCAGCGTGGGCCCGACATCCTTCGGCCCACCGGCATTTCCGCAGGATTGCGATGAGAGAGCAAAGTACGTAGTATGAGTATGCAGTATCGACAGCAGTCCTTGTCGCCGTCGCCATCGTTCCTTGTTCTGTCGTCCAACAACATCGCCAGCAGCGCCACAAGCACGGCAGGGGCGCAGTGGAAGGCGCTTGATATAACCACCACCACCACCACCACCACCACCACCACCTCCACCGCTTCCATCATTGCAGCAACAGCATCATCAGCAGCAGCAGCAGCAGCTTTCGCAGAACGCAGACAAGTGTTGGTTTGTACTAACCCGTATGGCGGGCTGGGTGCTCAAGCTGCTAAGTCCACCATTGGATGAGGAGCCGCGAGCCGTGGTTTCTTTGCATCGCCGTGTTGGGCGTGCTATCGGCAAGGCCTCGGACATGGGTGTATGTGTGCGTGTGTGTGTGTGTTTGTGTGTGTGTGTGTGTGTTTGTGTGTGTGTGTGCGTGTGTGTGTGTTTGTGTGTTTGTGTGTGTGTGTGTGTTGTGCTTTGGGCATGTGACTGTGGCCTTTTTTCAGGCTTTTTTTCGTTACCGAGTTGTGGAGCAGGCAGACGGAGCAGTGATGTTACGATCAAGAGATTTTGTTGTTGCTTTGCCAGTTGGCTCGCGACGCCCTCCTGGGCGCTTCCATTGCGTTCTACACTTCGCTCAAAAGCATCTTCAGCCTCAAGGGAGTGGAGGCCCGCAGTGTTGCGTGTTCCCGCTCGGACTCCCTGACGCACCGCATGCGCCCAAGGCCTTCGGGTCCCTGCGCTTCACGGTGCCTCGCGGAAGGCAGATCTTCGGTCTCCACTTCGAGGCGAGGTCGGAAGTTCCGCCCCTTTTCGCAGCAGCCGTTCTGCAAATCGTGACGAGCCAAGAGGGCAGCACGATCGCCTCGGTGACGACTTGCCCAGAGGACTGCGCCCAAGCTCCGGCCAAATCCGCGTCAACCTTGCAGAGAGTTGCGCTGGCGGAAGTTTCGGGCGTGGTCTAAGGACGGAGACATGCGAGCCCGCAAGACACGCGACTTGCTTTCCTGAGAGCGGGTGCCCGGCACCACATGCACTTCCATGCCGTAGCCTTGCAGCCATGAGCTCCTCAAAGTTTGTGGAAGTCTGCATATGTTTCACCATGCATCTGACATGGCCGACGCGGCTCGATTGGTGCTGACTGCATGACGAATCTCACCGACTCAACGATCGCACGATCAGCGGTATCCCCCCGATCCGCACTTCGCGACGAAACACGAGCTCCTCACACTGTGAGTGAACCCTCTTCTTGTCGTGAAGGGATCAACTCATCTCGACTCGAATAGTTTCGATCGTCATGTACGCAGTCTCTGCAACAATGGAGATCCGTCTCTAGAGGTCGGGTGTGCTCAAGAATGCATTCCGCAGGCCACCAGAACACTGCTTTATCGCCTTGATGGGTTTCTGCAGCCGGACAGACCACGAATCGGCACGATGTTGAAGTTGCGATCGTCGAACTCATCAAAGCAGTCGTTGATGTGGCTCTTCAAGCGATCAAAATGTTCGTTGAGCGTCTCACAATCGCTGCTTCTCCGCTTTTGAGCGACCT